CGCAGGTTGGTGCGGAGACTGGCAAAACTCACTGATGATGCTGGCGAAACATTTGAGAATGTACCAAGTCCACTGTCTGATGCTGGAAATCATGACAACTACTATGACAGACGACTTCGGACTAGGTGCGTTTTACTATGTCGTCATGACAACAAGACCAAGTTGTGACAACGAGATCAACCCACTTCTATAAATCGAAAGGTGACCACGACCATATCAGAGGCCACAACATCTTGGTCTTCATATCTTCAGTAATGCTTCTAGTTAAAGTGCAATATACAGTTACCTGTAGGTGCAAAATTTCCCATGCTAATTGAGAGGGACTTGACTTTATCCTTTTAAGGTTACTTAAAGTAGTCAGTAATTTGAAGCTTCAACAGCAAGATGCATATTTCCTTAGCCTTCTATCTACGGCTCGAATACCCTCGATGGGCAACGTCGAAATTTACTCGTTCTTAAGAAAACAACTATCTCGGATGTATGCTGAGATAAACTTATTTGCCAAACTCAGGCCCCTCGTTAAATTCATTTTAGGCAGAATCGCTATCAGTCCAAGTACATTTCGACTGAATCCTATCTTATCCCATCGAGGGAAAGCGTTATTCGCACCTTTTTACGAGACGATAAACGATCTGCTTCAACAAGCAGCAGAACGTATATTTTATTCAGTTATTTACCCCCTCCCTAACTGCTCCTCTTTATAATTATGAGTAAAATAGATAATCAGGTAGGTTTCTGCTTATCAAGTGTAGATAAGCTGGATTTTTTTACCCTGCTTTCTCGTATGATATTTTCTATCTGATATAGCCTGGTTTTCTTTGTGTTCAGGTGCAAACTAATGTTCTTAACTTTAATCACAGCTCACGTCTGTATCAAAATGAACTTTTCCAAGACTCTTCAGCTATAAGCATCCATACAACTTGCCTCTTTCTCACCCTACTCTCTCAGCTAGACTGTTGCTATTGTCAATCGATGGCCACCGGAGGCGTGGTTGCTAAATTATTACATGCTTGAAGACTTGCCACCTACATCTCCTTCAGGGCCAAGTTTAGTGCTCAACTTTTACTGTCTTATACAAAATGAAGGCAAATTACTTAAATGTATATAATTTAGTCTATTTGCATTCTTCATTGACTCATGCCCCCGTTGATGGGTGAATCTTCACTGCATTAATATTTTTTATTGCATTCCTGAATGTCCTTGCCAGCCGGGACTTAGTTGATCAGGTGTGTTGTATCCTGTTGAGTGTTTGGTAGAACTTGCTTAGACTAAAATGAAATTGAAAGAAGGTAAAAAAAACGAAGTGGATAAGGCAGAAAGATTTTAATCAGTAAAACATTGTTCATGCTTTTAGGACCTAGCGAGAAATAAAAACGGAGTTAATGGAGGAAAAAATTAAGGCATATCGGGCGCGTCGTAAATAGAGTAACAACTAGAATATTAAGCACAATGCGAGAACGGATTGATATGTATTTGCATATTGAGAATACAGATTAATTAGATCATCTGTATAAAATTAAATCAGTGCATTTTTTGCATATTTCTTTCTGATCCCTCATCGCTTAGCCATAATCATTCTCTGAGCATTCCACCAACGATGTTTATAGGTTAACGGGTTAATTCAGGCTGAGTAGATCAAACAATAATCGGAGGGATCAGTGGCTAGAATCACTTATAACTATAGGCCTATTCGGTTTGTCGGTAAAGTTGAAGAGTAATAAATGACAGCCTGACTTCTGCTCTTGAATATTAGAGGACTGATATAGTTCTGCTCTCAGTTCACGTTCGAGTGGAATCTGCCATGAATGCAAAACCATCATCAGACATTACGCACGTTTGACTCCCACTTGGGCCACCAAAATTGCGGCTTAGCTTGTCGATCTCCTCAAGCCTAGAGTTCATCTTTTAAGCCTTTTGCCATCCATCTGCTCAAATACATTATAGATACGAAGAGAAACTTGGTTTCGATGAATCTCCTGAGATAACATTATTAGGGGGACCTTCATTT